GTGCCACCACATATGTCCCACCTGCCCGAATCACTGCCCTGTGGTAGTGAATGCCCTTGAGCAGGACCCACTCCTCCCGGGCACAGGACCCTCTGGCTAGCCCTTTAGCACATTCCTTCCCACCGTCTCCAGTGTGACCTCTCCACTCTGCTTCCTCGAAGGCACTATTCCTCCCGGGACACTTCTCCAACTGACCGGGCACCCTGAGCCTCCTCCCACCCAGATTTCCAAACTTCCACCCAGAGAGAACGGGCCCAGAGCCACAGCACACCCCACCAGCCCCACAGAGGGAGGGTGTCCTCATGTTCTCCCACCAGCACCAGCAAGAGGTGGTGCTGGGCCCAGCCCTGGGACACGCCAGCAAACAAGACAGACCAGGCCCTGTTTACTTCTGCTTACAGCCCAGCAGGTGTCAATGCACCATGGTCAAGGGGGTGACTTCAGACCACGGTCAATGCTCTGATGACATTAAACGCAGGAACTGTGTCAAGACTGACTGGTGCAGAGGAGACTCTGATAGAGCCATCAGGGCAGGTCCCCCTGAGGGGTGGCAGCTGAGCTGAGACCTGCTGCCCAAGGGAAGCTGTGGGAATGGTATTACAGGCAGGGGGAACAGCAGAGGCAAGGGCCTGGTGGTAGGAAGGAGCCTGATATTTTCAGAAACCAACAGGGGGGTCAGCATGGCTGGGGGGCAGAGGCCACCCACTCCAGGTCGAAAGGCCTGCCTTCTTGTCCACTTCCCCATCTACAGAATGGGCCCAGCTGATCTCTTTGCAGCCACATGAGGCTCCGGTCACAGAAAGCACACTCACAGCCCAGCCCCATCTCCACCACCCATCCCTGTTGCTGCTGCCACCCTTATGAGCAGAGGTGACGGAGACCCCAGCCCACGCCGTGCCAGAGAACATGCCTTGCCCGGTGCCCAGACCACCCCCGCTCGGCAGATCACATCCCACACACCACAGGCCTCCTCTCAGCCTGGCCCCAATAAGTTTTTTTTAAATTAAGATGCAACAATCATCCCACAGCTGGTTTTCCCCTCTGGCGATCGGTTAAAATGAACTCCAGACGACTGGATTAGACTTTGAAGGTGGCCGCTGATCTAGATAATGAACACGGAGGCTGCGGTGTTGACACAGGCCCCGGCGAGCTACATTACTATTTAACAGCCTCGCTGCTGCCTCCACTGGGATCAAGGCGCTGAACAAGCAGTTGGTGGGCAAGCGTCAAACCCAGAGACAGGCTGCAGGCACTGCTCCACGGGAAACGGGCTCAACGGGTCAGGGGCAGCCAGCGGGGGCCAAGCGGGCCTAATGGAGACAGCCCAGGGCGGCCGTGCCTTGGAGGCCTCTCTCCTGGGGAGCCATCCACACCACCCCGAGTCCCACACACACCGGTTGTCTCTGGCCTGGGCTTGGCTCATGGGGCTTTCTCTGCCCAGACCATCCTCCCTGCCTCCTCCCTTCCTTCACCCCTCAGTGCCCGGCCTCCTCAGGGATCCCACCCTCCGAGAACCTCCCCTGCTCCTGTCCCTCCTCCAGCTGGGTCTGACACCTCCCCTGGGTTCCCAATGGGCCTCCTCATACTGACCGTTCCACACGGGACTCTGAGCTCCTGAGGAGCTGAGACTGGGCCTTATTCGTGTCCATCCAGCCATACCCTCCGTGAGGGCCTGGAAAGCAGGACACCACTAGTCTGCCCTCCACCGCCCTTTACCAGTGCACCAGCCATGTGAGCTACATGAGCTAGAAAGACATTGGGGAAAAGATATGAACAGGGTGCAATCCTAGGCCCGGAAGGCGTGTTGGTGGAAAAAGCAGGTGAGTAAACAAATGAGTTCTCAAGACTTCATGTGTGACAGGTCAAAAATGCAGGGGACAATGCCACCCAAAGGGGACTGAGCCTTTGGCCTACCAGGGTGGCCAGCACACAGGTTAAGCGCAGACTCGGGTGTGGGGTGCCTATACTCAGATCCCAGCTCGGTCTCCCTCCAGCTGTGTGGCCTTGGACAAGTCACTTAACCTCTCTGTGCCTCTGTGTTTCCTCATATGTAAAGTGGGAATAATAAGAGTACTCATCCCAGAGAGTGGTTTGAGGATTCAGTGAGTTAATTCATGCAAAGTACTGAAACCCATACCTGGGCCACATTAAGTACTCAATATGTGCTGGTTATTTTTATCATCCAGAGCCTTGATCCCAGTGGAGGCAACGGCAAGGCTGTTAAATAGGGTAAGAAACCAGGGGGGGCTCCTTAGAGTTCACACACTCCCTAGATTAAGCTCCTGTGTCTTGGAATTTGGGCCAGAGCCTCACCAGCCACACCCTGAATCAACAAGCTCAGGCCCTGACCCGTAAGCAGCCCAAATCCCCAGAGGGGGTTTTCTGGAGCCTGGGGGAGGATCGGCTAAGAAGCGATGCCCTCCCTCTGAAGTGAGGCATTCTGCTGCGAAGATCAAGAGGGCCCTTTCCTGCAGGTGCTGAGCCCTAGGCACACATGCGAGGCCTCAGCAGCCCAGACAGCAGCCCCCCTCCAGCCCCCTCTTCCAGGCCTGGCCGGCCCTGTGAGGCACCAAGACGAGACAAACGGGGAGCAGCCACGCAGATCCGGGGTCATTAGCGGCAGCCAGACCAAGCCGTTTGCAGAGCCGGGGCACCAGGGCGGGAGGCTTGCTCTCGGTTGCAAGCAGCAGCGAGCGTGGCTTTATTAAATATGCATGGCCATCACCTCGTTACTGTGCCCAAGGAGCGCGTGGACTGACCGCGAGCTGCGCACAAACTTTGCAATTTCCCTGGCTGCAGACCAGGCGCGTGCTCCCTCCGGCCCCACCGCGAAGGCGCCCTCACTGCC